GAGAGAGAGAGAGAGAGAGAGAGAGAGAGAGAGAGAGAGAGAGAGAGAGAGAATCAATCAATCAATCAATCAATCAATCAACAAGGTGTGCCAATCAATCAATCAATCAATCAATCAATCAATCAACATCGCAGAGGAACTGCTTAATTAGTCCATTCTTTATTTTTTCATGTATTCATCTGAACAACGGCGTCCGATACATCACGTAAGTTCCTTATCCCGACATTCCTCATGTACAGAGCTCAAGAATGGGGCTGGATACAGCCGCAATGGCCATCCCTTATGCTTCCAGGAGGGGGAAGGAGGGAGAGGGAGATGGAAGCGAGCGAGGGGGAAGGGAGGGGAGAGGGGCGCACACAATGAGAGAGGAAAAGTAATACGAGCATCACCCACGCGTTTGTCCGATTTCTACTTCGAATTCCTGCCACTCTGTGCATGTGTTGAGAGAGAGAGAGAGAGGGAGGGAGAGAGAAAGAGACAAGGGGAGAGAGAGAGAGAGAGAGAGAGAGAGAGAGAGAGAGAGAGAGAGAGAGAGACTCACCCTCCTCTGCCGTTCGTGGACCGTGCTCGCTTGCGGGCGTCCACTGGAATTGACCGGAGGGTCCACTGGAATTGACCGGAGGAGTTCGGCGAAGATATCTTCCACCCGCCAAAATCGAGCCCAATTTTTTTTTTTTTTTGATTTGTCGCATCCGGCTAAACGCCAACCGGTCTCGCCGGCCGGTTTGGCGCTCGGCCGAACGTCACGACATTCGGCCCATACGCCACGTGGCGTACGCTGATTGGCTCTTGCTTTTTTTTTTTTTTTTTTTTTGCTGTTTAGTTAGTTTTGGAAAAATAAAAAAAAAACAGGGGGCCACCTCGAACCCCGCGCCACCCACAAAAAAAAATAAAAAATAAAATAAAAGCGTCTGTGTCACCTTTCGGGGTTTGGCGGGGTCCAGACCTGAGATCGTTCGGCACCCGAACGCCTCCCCGAACGCCCGCACGTACGGGGCTGGTCCCGGGGCCTTCCGTACGTACGGCCCGGTGACGCTGAGTATAGGTATGCAAGACTATTTTTAATTAAATTCTAACTCCAAAATCTTGCAAGTGACGAGGGATGTGGAGACCTGGACTCTTTTTGCATAAAGAATACTTGCAGAAGAAAAAGGAATTAATTTGACTTTTTTGCTAATTAAATTAATAAAAATTAAAATAAATATCTAAAAATTAATTAAAAGTCGAAGTTCTTATCTTTCATCCGCTTTACTTTTGCTCTTCCTTCAGCAGCCAATCAAGAGATCATCTCCCAAACCCCATCCCAACGAGGGGAGGGGAATTGTTGCAGAAAAATTTTGAAATTTCCCATTTAATTTGAGTTTTTGATAATAAAATTGACTAAAATTAAAATAAATAACTTAACATTAAATAAAAAATTATTTTTTCATTTTCTATTTATTTTACTTGTTTTTCGTTTCCGGCAGCACTATTTGAGGGATTTGTCCCAAACCCAATCCCAATGGGGGGAGGGAAAACGTTGCCGAAATTTTTGAAAATTACCTGAAATAATTTTTCATTCCCAAAAATCTTGAAAATCAGCGAGCGTTGATATGTTCTGACTTTTGATAAATATAAAATAAGAAAAAAGGTTTATTCAAACCGAATCTAATGTTTTCTGATTAATATTTCAAAAATACGAGAAAATCCTGTAGAAGGGACTAGAAAAGAGTTGCAGGACAAATCTATTTTTGGCCGTATTTTGTTTTGCCATCACTACACACCGAAACAAAGAACGGTAATTTGCTCTAGTTAAATTTAATTTTGGGCAGGGGAGTGCATATTTTTTCATTTATTTAAATTTTTATTAATTAAAATTTTTAAATTCATTAAAAATTTAATAATGGCTTAAAAATTTAAAGACTGAGTATCCACTTCCTATATTTTGAGTTTCTGACTACGGGACAAGATCCGCTGGTCAGAAGCGTGTTCGAGGGTTGAGTAGATTGAATTCCCTCAAATAGAGCACTCGCCTTATATTCGAGGAAACTCGAGTATAAGGTGTGTAAGCTCAGTTTGAGTCCGGAATTCCACACCCTCGATATCCAGGGTATCTTAGGTCCTTCTAAGTACCCAGGTAGACAGTTTTCTTATAGGGACATCGTCCCAAACCCCATCCCTTACGGGGGGGAGGCGAAGTGCTGTCAAAATTCTTAGAGTTTTGACCATTTTTTACTTTTTGTTTTAGAGAGGGATTTTGTTGAATTCGCCCTGCCCACTCGGCCCACTCAGTGGCACAACGACCGGTACAAGTGGAGATTCATCCTCTTGTAGCCCAGCGTCTGGCTCTGGATGTACCGGGAGTTTAAGAGCAGCCAGGATCCGTATGGACGACGACCAAAAGAGATTGCCTACGGGGAGGTCAAGGCCTACCTGTACTTGAGTCCAGAAGTGGCCAAGAACGCCGCTCTGACTCTTGTGAAATGGGGAACCTGTGGGATTATTGCCTGGGTAGAGCGATACCTGCAGGAGGAGATAGAGGTTTTCCGGCTCGAGGAGGAGCAGGACGTGATAGAGTGGATCCACAGGTACCTTCCCCGTATCATTACAGGAGAGCTTCAGATCGTCCGAGACGGGTTCTTCCCGCACTCGGGCTGTAGACTGACGGCGACCGTTCCCACGTTTCTGGTCGACGCAGTGTTCGGCAGAATAGGCGGTTTGGTCGAGGCTTATCTCACCTTTAGGGAGCTCGAGCACTTCTCGAGGGGAGATCTTGACTCCCATTACTACTCCCAGGTGACTGTTGGACCCCCCTGGGGAGACGAGCAGATCTAGCTTATAGAGTTGATCCGGTGTCGGTGTGAATACCCTTACAAGGGTATCCGCCCTGGTTTTTGCAAGTGACAGAAAATAGTTTGGTTTAAAGCTTAAGCATACCGTGCTAGGCGTGACCGTGTCTGTAATTTACGTTGACTGGATGCTTGACTAGAGTAAAGGGTGCGTGGGCACGCAGGTTTAAGGCGCGCGTGATTTATCCCCTGATGTTGATTACGAAATCATCGTGGGCACCGGTTTGTTTATTTTTATTTTTTATTTTTATCTTTAAGTTTTTATTTTTGGTTACTCTTGATTAAACTAGGATCTAGGGGATATTTTCTTTCGATGGCTACGTTTGACCGAGTCGAGCGCGCGTGTGGAGAACGACCCCGATGACAGCATCGGCGACGACGGCGCGACTTCGTGCGGTGAGCGGGATGTCGTAGGATGGCGCGCGGGGCAATTATGGCATGGTATAAGCAAGCCGGCGCGGGCACAGGGAGCCGCGCAACCGAGTTGTTGGCCCAAAGCGCCACGCCGCACTGCCTTGTATGGTACTCCGCGGGTGCTGGTTTTAGGTTTGGGTATAGCTTTATAGGTTACAACAGCGGATTGTTATTTTGGAGGTTCGGGGATCGAGGCCAGCGGGCGTCAGCGCGATGGCAGCGGAGTATCGTGGAGCGAAAGCCTGAGGGGTTGAGGGCCTTGTGGGGCTATCCCCTTCGGTTTTGTTTATGGGTGCGGCGGCGGGCCCAACCCGCGGGGCTGGCAAGGTGCCGGCGGTCCCGGGGTTCCCCGGCGTTACTGGTATTTTATTTTACCTTTGTTGATTGTTCTTGGTCCCTTTGTTACCGCGTCCTGTTTTGGGACGCGAGACTGTGGTAGGGTCGCGTGGAATGTGTTGTATTCCCGGGGTTGCCGGGAGTGCAATTACAAACTATGTTCGTAGCAGCGCCGAGGTTACCCCTTCTCAGTACTATGGGGAACCCCGCTGCAGCCACATTCGTGTTCAAGCCTCCGACGAGGGGACATGCGGGGACTGTAACCACCAGCAGGTGGGTGGTACCGGCCAAGGGTCAGCCGGTAACGTCAGGACCAAGTCTTTCGATGGGCCGGTCACGGTTCCCCCACGCCGGTCCCCTCCCCCTATGAGCGCCCGTGGTCTCGGCTCGGTGCCATTCGAAAAAAGGGGGGGGGGCGCTGCCCTCAGCTGAGGCCTTGGGACACCTGTAAAAGTCGGAACAATAGGGAGAAGATTTGCGCGGCCACGGTGTGAGGGTCCCCGTGAAAATTTCGGGACTGAATCCGGATGGAAACCGGGGCAGGCACGTGCGAGGGAAGTAAAGGAAAAGGCCGGGCGGCCTTTGGTAGCCCCATGGGGCATTGCCCCGGCTGAGTCCTTCGGGACATCCGTTAAAATTGGAACGATACAGAGAAGATTGGCGTGGCCGCGCGGACACAGACAAGTATAAATCGAGAAACAGCGGAAGGGCGCGGGTGTTTTGTTTTTCCTTTTTCCCTTCGCTGTGTCTGTGTCGCCCGGCCGAAGGCAGATTGGTGGTCGCGTTGCGGGCGGAGGGGCGGATGGACGAGCAGAGCGGGCGACAGGTGGTGCTGGTCGGGCGACGCCCTGCAGCAGACGGGCGGAGCATCTGAGCGTTGCAGCGGGGCGGAGTGATAACGGGCGCCAGCGTGCAGCAAACGGGCAGATGCATTGGGATGGGGTTCCGAGCCGGGTGTGCTCGGCAAAGGAAAGAAGGCAGCGGGTAGAGGAGAGTGAAAGGAACCCGGGCGCTGAGACAGCGCGGCGGGGTAAAGACATCGAGGGAGTGAGCGGACGACGGGCTGGGACGGACGCAGGCAGGCAGCGGGGGAGAGACTGAGCAGGAGGGAAGAAGTAATAAAGGGAATGAATCCGGGCGCGTTTCTGCGCCGGGTTCATTCAAGGACAGGAAGCCATGGCGGAAGCTATAGTATATGCTCGTCTGTTAACCGAAACGAGCGGGGAAAGATGCTGGGTAGGGGTTTAAGGACCGGGCGAACCTGTTTATGAGGTTAGTTTTAGGAGAAGGTCGATATATTAGAGGTTAGTAGAGAAACTGGTGCGAGGAGGCTATGGCGGGAGGGATGTTAGTGGGAGTTGAAAGTTCGGAATCCCGCTCGATTCTCGACGGATTCAAGCGGGGTAAGATACAAAACCGAGTTTTTAGAGTCGGGCGACTTCAAGACTGTTGTTAGTTCGGGTAGTAGATAAGTAGAATGGAAGTCAGGAAGGGAAGTAGGTGCGTCGGGATATGGCGGGGCGACGGGAGAGGCGGAGAGGAAAGAGTATAGCCCGCCCGTGTCCCAATGAAAACGGGCGATCAAGGAGTCGAAGTGGGGGTTTTGGTGGTAGGCGAGTACGATAGTAGTGTTACTTTGAGCATTTAGTTAGTAAGTTAGGAGTTAACCGGTGAATGGGCTGCGCCGGGGTAAAACGGCCGAGGTGCTGAGTGTACTTGGCCGTGCTATAGAGGTAGGTTCGTAGCACGTTTGGGCTCATCCTAACGATCTTCAGAGTGAGAGAGAGATAGAGGGGGCGGTAGTAGAGAGAGAGAGAGAGAGTTGGCGAGGTCACAGTGGGATGCTTACCTTGGAGAACTGGCGATGAGAAGAGGAGGCCGAGGGTCGGGCTAGTTGGGCCAGGTCGGCCTTAGGCGAAGCCGGGCGAGGTACATACCGGAGGCAGAACAGACGATGCGGGGTGGGAGACCTGCCTCAGCCGATGTGATGCTCCTCTGAGTAGCCCGAGGATGGCCGCGAGGTTGGGGACTTACTGGAGGGGCGGCTGTATGCAGGCCGCTAAAGATAAGCGGCGTGGGGAGGGAGCTTTGCAGCGGGAGTGTACCGGCCCGTGGCTTGGTGGAAGATTTACGTGAATCCAAGCTTATACTGTCAAAGGCAGTGGTGTACAGACAGCCGCTGGGCCGGGCACTTACCTGTTGGCCGGGGCGAGGCTCGCCCTGACAGCGAAAGTTGTGTTAGGTGTGGGCCAGCTGACGGTCGGGGACTGGCCTGCAGACCGAAGTGCCGCCCAATTCCATCGAAGTGAGGAGCGGACAGCAGGCGCGGGGGCGTACCGGTAAGTTAAGGCCGTTAGGTGGCGGGCCACGAAGGTGGGGGGACATAACCGCTGGCCATCTGCTGGGCACTACCGGGCGAAGGAGTGTTAAGGGAATAGAGGGAGGAGCCCTACTCGGGGCCGGTGTGTGGCCCACCCCGATGGCCAGTGTACCAAGGGGGTCGGCGAGATCTGCTGGTCTTTATAGACCAGTGTGCCGCTCAAACTGCAGGTGGGGGCCGCAAAGAGACGACAGCAGGGCTTCCGTTGGGCTTGTAACAGCACAGTGGTGAACTGCTACGCATATTGTATCCGCGTTGCGCTTCACGGCACAGCTGCTGGGTGTTCTGCTCATTCGTGATGGTCGCTGGTCTATTACAGGCATTGCTGAGCTTGCTTTGAACTGTCGTGCTGCGTTAAGTAAGGCCGGGTAATGTCGCGTGATAGCAGCCTCACCTGGGGTGACAAAGGTGTGGCATGAAAGAAGTGCCGGGACTGCAAAGAAGGCTGCTGCCGCAACTCAGAGGAACAATGGCGGAGGCGGCTATTGTTGCGATTCAGGAGTTCGTCAGGAGAGTTTAACTTGGCGGTTTGACTTCGGAAGGCGGTCAAAGCGGTCGTTTGTTTGGTCGCCATTGCGGGGCCCTCAGGCGTTGGAAGATTACAAGGTCCTCTCCTGCGAGTCTGAGAGCACCCTCTCTGGATCTGAGAGTCTCAAACCTATCTACCCTCTGCCTTCCTCACTCTAAGTCTAGTCCATTGGCTCTGAGAGGAAGGCGGCAGGCGGGATTGCAACCCCTAATCCGCGCCAAGGCCTCTGTGGGAGGTTCGCCCCACCAATTGCGGGAGCTCTGCCGGGACTCAGGCGGAGTCCCGGAGGCAGGGGACTGAGTGGTAATTCCCTGACTCCCTCTATAAAGCCAACTATAACTTTTCTATGGTTTGACTGAGGGTACTGCGTGAATCCTGTACTTTGACTTTGGTTTGACTTCCAGGATTTGAATTCAGACTAAATAAAGGAATGTGTGTGCAACTCAGTTTCAGTTTTTGTTGGTTGCCTGAAAGCAGATTGGGAACGAAAGAGGGTTACATCTGGGGGAAGGCTGGGAGGAAGGCAGTATTGTGTGCAGTCTGATTGGATCGTTAAGGCTGGGAGATCCCCATAAGTTTGGGGAAGCCCAACGCTTTGTTTATTTTGGTCTTACTTGAAGAAGTCAGACCCTTCTATAAGTTTAGGGGGTTTGACTACTCTAGAGGCTGGGATGTCCCCATAAGTTTGGGGAGACCCGGTGTTGTGGTCTGCATGGAGGGCTAGGCCGCTCTATAAGTTTAGGTGGCCTGACTGCTCTGATTGGCGAGGGGTTGATTGCGCTTGATTTTCAGGGACTCAGGGCGCTCAATAAGTTTTAATGCCTTGAGTTGCCTTGTTTTCTTTGGGGTTTCCCGAGTTTCTTTTGTTTCTGAATGAGGGGACCGAGTTGTTCTGTAAGTTCAGGTGGCTCAGTCTCTTCCTGCTTTTATTCTGAAGAAGTAATCCTTGGCAAAGAGGCTGATCCCTCTGTAAGTTCAGGGGTTTTAACTCGATGCCACACACATAATGGTTCAGAGATAAATGAATTGGCAGAGAGTTAGATCCTTCTGTAAGTTCAGGGGGTCTGGCTTGAAGCCTCGCACATGCTGAAACCCAATGGTTATAATATGGCAACACCTTATTACTATTTTATCTAAGAACGAGTTAATCTGATTGTTCTATAAGTTTAGGTGGTCAGACTATAGCCTATGATAACTTGAAGAAAGTATAACTAAGAATAAAGTTGGTGGTAAACTGGGGCAGACTGAACTTAAGTTAGTTCAGTCATATGCAGCCTTAGAAGACAAGGACGAAGACAAGTATATGTAACTTGGATACTTTAAACAGTTCAAGGCGACTAGAGTGGTCTAGTCATGTGCCCAAAGAAGAGAAAGGTAGTTGGGCCCGGCGTTCCTACATTTGTACCGTAGCCATATGGGGCTGGGCAAGACACTTTCTGTTTCTCTTTTTTTTTTTTTTTTTTTGGAAAGATTTGAAGTTCAATTGCAAAAAAATTGTAGGAAATTACGAGTTTTTAGGCTGTTCCCGAAGAATTCGGGGGTGGGACGCAGGGTCGACAAGTCCCATAAATCTTTTTTTTTTTTTTTTTTTTTTTTTTTTTTTTTTTTTTTTTTCCCCTTATAAAACCAGAAACCGGTCCGGCGTCCCTCACAAAGGCCGACCGTTCCCGTGCAGGTGGTAGGGCACATCTGCTGGTTTGCAATAGCATTATAGCACCATCATGGTGGGAGTTGGTGCCTTTGGTAATGGAGAGTGCGTGTGGAGGTGCAATCTACCCCGAGTCGCGAGGAGGTGGGTGGGTTTCGCAGGGTCTGGATACGGCCCCGTGCAGTGTGGGTGGCAGGGCGGTTCTGCAGGGGGGGTAATAGCTGATGATTGCATTTTGGCTTTGTTGATGGGTTTCATAGCATAGGTTTGGTGTTTGTACGATCTTGATCATGGTCGGGATTCTTGGCCATAAACCTTCTGTTTTAGGGCGTCGTTAGACACTCCTCGGGGACGCGATTCCAAGGATTTTGTCGTCATTCCACCTGTCCTCGGAGATGAAATCGGAAATGAAAATGTGAAAACACTCCGAGGACAAATCCTCGGGCTCCGTGGATTTCCCAGCCAAATCATCCTTGAACTCGAAGGACCTCGCGAGGTCCTTCGGAGCCCGAGGATCCGTGATTAATGGGTTGTCGGCGGCTACTCCTGAACGGAAATTGGAGGCCGAAGGCGGAGCAATGGTGGTCCAGCGGCCAGAAGACGGACATCCCCGACCATCGTCGTCGAAAACCTCCAGCAACGGCCTCCTCGTTTTACCGTTGGCGCTGAATCGCGGGACGGCCTTGTAGGTCCTTCGGGCGGCCCCACGGAGGGGCCATGGCGATCATCGGACGTCTTCGGGCGGCGCCCGGAGGCTTCGTGGCGTTTCCGCGGGCTTCCCACCGGTCGGAATTACGGATTTTGTAAGCGTCCTCCCCCTGTCGCTGCTTGCATGAATTTGGTTCGTTGTCGTCTTCCCTCTCGCACAGTGTGTCTCTGCTCGCCGCAAATGCGACAACGCTTCTGTGTCGGCTAACCTATCGTTGATGGCAGACCAGTACCGCACGCTACCTTTGCTGCTTCTCGTCGCTCTGCTGCTGCTCATCGTTGTCGTCTTCCACATTTGTTTCCTCGGTCGCGTTCCTAGAAGGAAACAGACGCGTCGAATGCCGAAGAAGTCGAGGAAGATGGATAAGATTCAGACGAAGACGACGATGTCGGTGGAAGGTGGGGGGTCCTCTCGTCAGCGTTGCAACAGTGCGGAAGGCGGTAGGCGACCTTACGACCCGACGCTGTACAGCCACCTGCCGTCCCACGAGATTCCATTGCCTCCGAGTGACGACGACGTCGACGACCCTAGATCCTCAACGGTTCCTCTGGGCAGCGGTTCGACGCAGGATTGGATGGGGAGCCAACTGTACAGACACACATCGACGCCGACGTACACTGATTTGCTGGAGGGCCGGACCCCCGCTGGTTACGACGCTGGACTCGTCGATTTGAGCTTCGGTCTGAGGTCTGGGAGTGGCGAGGACCTGACGCACACCGTTGTCGTGAACCCGGCTTCTGCCACCAAACACACATCGCCTTCCGTGAGGGCGGCTGGCCCTGCGGATAACCGTGGATTCGTTTCGCCGAGGCGGGTGGCTTTGAGTACAGCAAGTGTGGCCGCATTGTCGGAGCAAACACCCTTACAAGGGTATTTGCTCAGGATTTTACATTGGATACAGGATCGACGCCGGTTACCATACTGGGGACGGTCTGGGGTTAAATGTGAGAATTTTTTTGGCTTGGCACTGTGAAGCAAACTTCTCGACCATTGAGGCCGAAATTTCTAGACGATCGTACGCAGTGATACGACGCATGCGACAATAGGTAAAGGTTAGTGAAAATTAAACGTCTCGGTCGCAAGGGCCGGAGGACTGGAAGAAAATAAGAAAGGCCGTGCAGGATGCGTCGACCACAATCTAAATTAGTCAAAGAATCACGCGGTAAGGGAAAAACAAATTAGGTCTAGTCCAGGGGCGTCGGACCGACAGGTATAGGAAAGTCCGCAGGTCGCGCCACCGAAAAATCTAAAGTCAACTGAAAAATTAATATAACCCCGGCCATCTGGCCAGGGCATCCAAGAGAAACACACTGCCTGTCGTAATAGGTAACGGCAGTCGGTACCTCTGCGATTACTCGTATACAATGAGTAGGGTTGAGGCTCCAGCTCCACGTACTATATGTAGCGAAGAGGTCGCCTCTCGAGTGGCGGCTTCGCGTCCGCGCGATCACCCAAGCAACCGGTGCCTTCGTCCTTTTGAGGGAGACACCGTTGCAAGTCCAGATATCGTCCGCACAGTGCCCGAACTCAGGCTACTTGAATTGGTACCCGCCTACCTACCGGTACTGGGCCTCTAAAAATGTCACCTTTGTCTTCCTCTGCTCGACCTCGAGTACCCGGCACATCAAACTCTACATGGTGTGGTACCGACATACCCGCTACTTGAGTGTTTTCCCTACCGCAACCCTCAATGTCACAGCCACAGGTAAGTACCGACTCTTCGGGCCTACCGGTGAATCAAGTACCCCTGCGGGCCACACACACACTAAAGTCAAACAGTACTCAGACAAGTATGCAAACCAGCGGGCGTTTCACATGTACACACTTAGAAACAGGCTCAGGCCGCTAGTTGGGCTGAGCCAGTACTCTATACATAGCAAAGTTGCTCCCTATCTTTTCGATATGGGAGCTAGCTCAGTATGTTAGAGGGGCAGACTGATAAGGTAAGGATACAGGGATCGAGTCTGCCCGAACTTTGAGCTAGCTCCTTTTCACAAGGAGCTTCGCTACAATTTCACCCTGTCCCGATAAGGCCGAGGCTCGAACCCGTGACCTTAAGTTCGAAAGTAGTTAGAGTTAGTGTTGGTTAGCCCTTTGAAAAACGAGGGCATTACACTTGGCAGGTTACTGAGGTTAGGATGGTTAACCGTTAGATTTTGTTAGTTTTTTTTTTTTTTTCCTTCTTCTTCTTTATTTTATTTTATTTTTCCATTTTTTTTTTTTCTATTTTTTTCTTTTTTTCTTTTCGATTCTCGCGATTTACTTGCCACGAATGCCTAAGTGAATCTTCCCCCCCCACTGGGGCAGATTCATTCGATCGTTGCCAATAGTAAGCACCCGCCCTGATCGCAGCCAGCCAAGCCTCGCTGCGGACAGGGCGTGATCGAGGGGCATGGCGCATTCTGTGGTAAGGAGGTGAACGCGCAGAAGGAGGGAAGAAGCTTGCGCGAAGGAGAAGAAAAGGAGCGAGGCTTGGAGGAGAAAGAAGCGAAGCGCACGGGAATGCGCGGGCAAGTGTTAAATGAGAGAGCGAGCGACGAGAGAGAAGGTGCGCAGGAAGATGCTCAACGACTTGGTAAAGGGGAAGGCGGGGGTACATGCCGACTGAAAGGTGAAGGTGGCAATCACGACGAGGAAAGCCATCCGTGAGCGCAATGTAGATGGCGACAGGGTGAGGGCACATCTGAGAAAGGAAACAACGTGCAGGGGACAGCGAGAAGAAGGAGGCGCGCAAAGAAGAAGAAGAAGAAGAAGAAGAAGAAGAGGGAAAGGGAAGGGGACTCATCGCGACGGGGTAGAATGTTGTAATTATCGATCTTGAACGAGGAATGCCTAGTAAGCACGGGTCGTCAGCTCGCGCTGATTACGTCCCTGCACTTTGTACACAGCGCCGTCGCTCCTACCGATTGAATGGCCGGTGAAGTGTCTGGATCATGGTGATCTCGACGTTTTGCCGTTGGGAGTGCTATGGGAGGTTCATTGAACCTTATCACGAAGAAAGAAGAAGAAGACGAAGAAGAAGAAGAAGGAGAGAAGAAGAAGGAGAAGAGGAAGAGAGAGAAGAAGGGAAAAGGAGGAGGAGAGAGAGAACGAGGGGAAAGTGGTGATGACAACAACGACGACTGGCGATGACAACGACGATGGACGATGACGACAGAGCGAGAGAGTGAGAATAGGTAAGTCTACAATCACACAATGATACTTCCATCGAAATAAATAAATAAATAAATAAATAAATAAATAAATAAATAAATAAAAAGAATGAATCTATCACTAGAATATGGAAGTATTCACTACACATATGTGTGTGTGGGTACATGTGCTTGTATGTGTGCTTGTATGAAAGAGAGAGAGGAGAGAGTACTTCGATCAGTCCGTTGAGCGACGTACCTGGGCACCGAGTAAGTCCCCGAGGCCGCGGCTAGCCTCGCGCAACTCTCATCGGAAGGATGAGCAAAATCGATTGAATGTTTCACTAGAACGTCGAGATATTCACTACTACACATATACGTGTATGTGTATGTATGTGTGTGTGTGTGTGTGTGTGTGTGTGTGTGTGTGTGTGTGCGTGNGAGAGAGAGAGAGAGAGAGAGAGAGAGAGAGAGAGAGAGAGAGAGAGAGAGAGAGAGAGAGAGAGAGAAAGAGAGAGAGAGAGAGGAAGGAAGAGAGGGGGTGTGTGACGATCCATGGGCACACGTGGCATTTGTGTGTGGGGAACAAGGTTGTGAGCGTAGTGCGAGACATACCTGATGCTTGACGCGTGCGACAGTGGTCGCCACATGCACGTGCTTCGGAATGCTGTTGATATCATCCTTCGGCTTAGTAGTAATGGCTAGATAGGATCTACCACATGTAGTCTGGGCGCCGAGCGCCAGATAGATTCCAACTCTAGTTCTTCGTTGATAGTGATGAGACTATTTCAGCATCACTATTTGGTGAATCTTGTGATGCAATTCTGCGGTTGGTTCGACGTCACGACTATCTGGTCTTATGGGTATGATGCTGTCTGATTTTTAAAGTTCGCTATTGCACATGTTCCTTGCATTTTGTATTATTTAAATTTATTATTTCTTTTATTATTATTATTATTGATTATTATTATTATTATTATTATTATTATTATTATTATTATTATTATTACTTGATATTATTTTTGTAATTTAGTTATAATCACAGAAAGTGCAAGGATGGATTTGAACGAAAGGCAGGGATCGCGCATGAAAAAGGGATGGTCACGTGAGAAAAATGAGGGAGAGGATGAAGAATGAGAAGAATGAGATAGAGGAGAGGATAATGGATGGAAGATTACGACAACTGTTTCGTCGGAGTTTCACGAACTCACACACATACACACGAGGAAGAAGAAGGGAGAGAGAGAAAGGAGAAAAGAGAAGCAGAAAAAATAGACAGATAAACGGATACAAACAGGTCAAACAAGACAAACAGATAGATACCGACAAACAGACCAACACAGACAGACGAACAAGTTGCAGACTAATCACAGACAGCGACCAACAGACATCCAGACATACAGACATACAAACATACAGACATACATAATGAACAAAAACAGATACACAGACAGTTGGTCTGACAGGCAGCACAGCAAACCGGCGACAAGCGCCCACTCAATACTCAGAAATATGACACCCAGATAAGAGTTCGCTTTCAACTGACTGTGGCGGCTCAGCGCCCAAACAGCTCACTGTTCACAAACCGGATCACCTTGGATATCCCACACGCATCACTCTGAACACACAACACAACACACACACATCGACTACAGCTATGGCAGCTATGGCTCCCTCTACGCTATCACTATGCTAAGCTCTCCTGGCCCACTTCGACTTCAGGCACACTGCAGACCTTTCTCACAAACCGCTGAGACAACGCTTCCGCATGGCTTCCGCAGGAATGAATGAATGGCTGTGCGCGGCCTCTTGATTTATATTTTTGTGGCTCATCGGCCTGTCTGTTTCCCTGACCCACAGTGCACACAGTCCCAGGCGGTACTTGCTTGACTGAACCAGGATTGATTGAGACAGGGCCTGCTGACTCAGCACGGGTAGACTCCACCACCTGCCCACTTGCCTCAGCCTAATCATGGGAAGCTTTGAAAAGGCTATTGCTAGGACCTTTTGGAAGCTTCAGACATGGTCTTTCGGACACTGTAGCAGCTACGACCTTGACCTTTCCGGACTGTAGCAGCTGCAGCCTGCGGACCCTATGATGGTCTACCTACTGTTACGAATACACAGGCCACATGTTCTACTCTCAGGGTCAATACAAATGCTCTACACAGGCAAGGTAAGTCTAAGGATCGAACCTTGGATCTACATTCGCTACTACGCAAGGGCGAGTGTCGTTTCAGACCAATGGGAACAATCAGCCATAACAGTCTGACCCAGGCAGACAGACAGTCATCAACAGGCAGACGAAACAGACCGACAAGTGGACAGACAAACATTGACAGACAACCGAACACACAAATGGAAAGACACATTCACAGTGACACGGACAGACCACAGGCATAAAGAGATACTGTGACACATGCATCTACAACAGGCATACGTGGATAACGGACATATACAGACAACAGACCTACAGAGACAATGTGACACACACGTATACAGTAATACAGAAAACACAAACGACGTTGATATACAGGAACACAGACACAGTGGTATAGGTACCTAATGATACACGGATACACATACACACAGTAAGAGAGACAGAGAAAGGAAGAGAGAGAGAAAGAGGGGCGAGATAGGTACCTAGTGCATGAAGAGGGTAAGAGAGTAAGAAACGAGAACAGGCAGACATGGCAGGCTTGTCGCAGGCGGATGTAGCTTTGCAGCTGCAGGCCAACAGGCAACGTCAAACATACAATACCAATAACAGACGGACAAACAGACAAAGCAAACAGATAGACAAGACATAAAAA